ACGCAAATAGTAAACAACGCAAAATGCCAAAATCCCTTTCGGGCAAATAGCCCTTTGGACTAATAATTTAGAAAGAAATTATCTTTAAAATTTCCGATACACAGTCTCACGCAGGAGACAAATTATTTGTTTTTCGTACAATGTTGCCATTACTCGCTTTGAAATCGTTGAGTTTCTTAATCAAAAATTCATAAATGCTTTACAAAATATGACACAGACAATAAAACAAATCCCAAATTTGGGCTTCCAGATACCCATATTCGGTTGGTTTAAGGCTCAATCCTAACTGTGTGACGGACGTTATCCAGAAATGGATAGCTCTAGGTACCGTTGTTTTATGACAATGCTAGGAAATACACATACATGCATTTATATAGCTTCTTCATTATTTACGCAGGGGGGTTATTATCAAGGGTGTTACTATCAGGGGTTATTATTACCAGGCGTTATATTATTTTACAAGGGGGATCATATTTTGGTTGCAAGAATTTAAAAAGTGATTCGCCATTTATAGCGAATCAACGGAAAATGTCAAAACAGAATTAATAGTCCTTCTGTTTAAATCGTCATTTTGGACTAATAATAATTAACTTGATCATACAACAAATGTTTATATATTCGTAGGAGCTTGAGTGTATCTGTAATTTCTATAAAGTTTATATGTCTATAATTTTTATGTCTTTTAACAAAATTTGACTTGTACATTTGCTAATTATTAGCTAGTTTGTTTAGTCTCAATCTTAGTGTATGGCTTTCGGCTTCAAAATACGCCAGAACTAACACCTGAGCTAGGAAAGGATGCATTGGCAGAACATGTAATTGTCGTTAATTACATGTTAAATAAACTACTATTATGATAGAAGATAAAGGAATCATATAACTGAGTGATATTAAGGATTAAGTAGCTTCGACTATCATTGCTGTCAGAAATCTGAGTAGAAGATCACCCAGGAAATAACTATGAAAAAATTGTTTGATTACATATAAATTATGTAGTATATTGTAAATTAGAGCTACATCTGACTTCTCGTAACTCTGTTCTCTTTGTGAATTACAATATTCCAGCGAATGGTATAATTGCACGGACATTTTCGTGGTTTTTCCCTTGCGCAAGATCAACACAGAGCCAGTTTCATTAGACGGTCTTCCACGAAGGCATCCTTCCCCTTAGAGAAATAGCATTTTGTGCTTGGCGACGTTCTTATAAAGCCAAACCAATTTATAAGCAGATTCAGAAGTCAAACAACAAAAATCAGCGTAAATTTACAAAATTTTCGCAGGACTAGTTTCGATGGTTTTAACGAACCACCATCCTCAGCTGCAAAACCGCAAATGAACAAGATGGGAAATAATGATTAGATAAGAAAGCCTGGACAAGAATAAGCAAGTGGCGCCATCTGTTGGTGAAACCAGAACTAAAACATAATTTCTTTAAAGGCCGAAGGCAAATTTGGATTGGAATTAGGATCCTTAACTAGAAAGATTTTTATGAATGTGAAATGCCTCTAGAAATCCAGTTCTCCAATGGAAGATGTTTTTTGATTAATTTTGGCAGCAGAAAAATTGAAACTGTGATTTTCGCACCAACAATGTTAAGCAACAGAAGACTTCTGTGTTTCCTTTTTTCTAACATATGCCTCATGTTCCTTGACGTGAAATTTTAAGGCTCTCTTAGTTTGGCCAATGTAAATTAAACCGCACTGGCAAGGAATCCTATAAATACCCCAGGAATTCATATCCGGATTGATGGGAGAATAAACAACCCGAAAGTTAAATGTCTGCAAAATATGTGCAACTTTATAGCTAAATGATGGAAAGAAGGGAATGACAACAGAACTTTTATAATCTCCTAAAACAAGAGTGTGCCTTTAGCTGGAATATGTGTTGAGATGAGAATTTTTTAACTGCTTGATTAATAATGTTGGGTGAAAGCCCCTGTCAATAGCTATTGCTTTTAAATAATTTAATTTTCCATCAAAGGCTAGTTTGGAGGAGCAAACTTGAAGAACACGGAAAACATAGGAATAAAATGAAGCTAACTTTTGTTTAGTCGGATGACATGATTTAAAGTGTGGTGGAAGGCAAACCGATGAAGGTTTACGGTAAACCGTAGTACTGAAGTTGGATGTGTTACGTGTGACCAGAATGTCGAGAAACGGAAGAGAATTGCAAGTATCAAGTTCAGAAGTGAACTGAATAGCAGGATCAATAGAATTCATTGTTGAAAGAACTTTATTTAAATCATTTTGATTATCTTCAAACAGGGTAAAAGTATCGTCTACGTAGCGGAACCATGCCGGGAAGTTTAAAGTTTCAAACAATTTTGATTCGTAATAATGCATGTAGATATCAGCCATGATGGGACTGAGGGGGCTTCCCATGGCTAATCCCTCAGTTTGCTTGTAATATTTATTTTGGAAAACAAAATGTGTTTGTTTCAAACAGAGTTGAGTGAGAGAAATTAGCTCATTAATTTCGATGCAAGAGAAATAAAATTCGCGAAGTCTGATTTCTAGACATCTTAATGCACCCTCCACTGGGACATTGGTGAATAATGATTTTACATCAAAAGAAACCATGAGTGAATTACTTGGAGAAATATTTTTAACCTTTTTTACAAACTCTATTGAATTTTTTATGGTGTAAATGTTATTGTCTAATAGAGTTGAAAATCTGGAAACTAAATATTTAGCTAAGGGATACGAGGCAGTACCTAAATTTGATACAATAGGGCGGAAAGGAAAACCACTTTTATGAATTTTGGGAAGAGCGTATAATCAGGCACAATTCGCAACAGATGGGATAAGCGAATGTTTTATGTTGCTTGAAATGATTTGTGAAGATTTGATCGCAGTTTTTATTTTTTAGAATTCCGAAGGTGAAGGATCTTTAGGGATCGGATTATATGGTCCTTCGTTTAAGAGTTTAGTGACACCATCGATGTAAGTTTTCTTATCCATTACGACTATCTGGCCACCTTTGTCGGCCTTTGAAATGATAATATCCGGGTTAGAATGAATTTTGCGCATAGTAGCTCTTTCTCTCGCAGTTAGATTTGATTTCAAAGTTTTATTATTGAATTTCACATTATGAGCGATAAGATGCCTAATCATTTCTTTCTGTGAATCTGAAATTTTACTGAACTTAAAAGCTTTTTCGATAGGAGCCAAAATCTTTGGAATCGAGTGCTTACAGGTTTGTGAGAAGTTAAAATTATATTTTAGAATTCTCTCTTGTTCTTCTGAAAGACTAACATTAGAGATATTAACTATTGGCTTGATGTTTACAATGGGAAGATTTTTTGAACTACTTGATCCAAAAGACTGTAAAAGAAGTTTTTCGAATTTAACTGCAAGGGTGTTTTTATGACGGTTAACTGCATTCTGCATTAGATTTGATTTGAATAAAATTGGGGATGTATTTTTCCACATTTACATTTAAGTAAAAAGTCAAGATGATTCAGGAATTTTTGCCGTTTTAGGCGTAATTTAGTGAAACGATTAACAGATGAAGGCATGATAAACAATGCAGAAAATCAAACTAAATTAACTAAGCAATAATAAAGCACACAGAAAACAGCAGAAAAATCCCTCACTGAAATCTATTGATTCTGCTATTCAGTTCACTTTTGAACTTGAGACTTGCAATTCTTTTCCGTTTCTCGACATTCTGGTCACACGTAACACATCCAACTTCAGTACTACGGTTTATCGTAAACCTTCATCGGTTTGCCTTCCACCACACTTTAAATCATGTCATCTGACTAAACAAAAGTTAGCTTCATTTTATTCCTGTTTTCCGTGTTCTTCAAGTTTGCTCCTCCAAACTAGCCCTTGATGAAGAACTAAATTATTTAAAAGCAATAGCTATTGACAGGGGCTTTCACCCAACATTATTAATCAAGCAGTTAAAAAATTCTCATCTCAACACACTAAAAGGCACACTCTTGTTTTAGCAGATTATAAAAGTTCTGTTGTCATTCCCTTCTTTCCATCATTTAGCTATAAAGTTGCACATATTTTGCAGAAATTTAATTTTCGGGTTGTTTATTCTCCCATCGATAAAATTTCCGAGTTCCATACTCGAGTACCCCATTCCGGATATGAATTCCTGGGGTATTTATAGGATTCCTTGCCAGTGTGGTTTAATTTACATTGGCCAAACTAAGAGAGCCTTCAAATTTCGCGTCAAGGAACATGAGGCATATGTTAGAAAAAAGGAAACACAGAAGTCTTCTGTTGCTCAACATTGTTGGTCCGAAAATCACACTTTCAATTTTTCTGTTGCCAAAATTATTCAAAAAATATCTTTCATTGGAGAACTGGATTTTCTAGAGGCATTTCACATTCATAAAAATCTTTCTGTTCTAGTTAACGATCCTAATTCCAACCCAAATTTCCCTTGGGCCTTTAAAGAAATTATGTTTTAGTTCTGGTTTTACCAACAGATGGCGCCACTTGCTTATTCTTGTCCAGGCTTGGACAAGAATATCTAATCATTATTTCCTATCTTGTTCATTTGCGGTTTTGCAGCTGTGGATGGTGGTTCGGTAAAACCACCGAAACTAGTCCTGTGAAGATTTTGTAAATATAACGCTGATTTTTGTTGTTTGATTTCTGAATTAGTATTTATTCGGCGTGTTATTGTGTCTTAGCCATTTACTAGTTAGAATAAAAGATGCGAATTTCACCTATTTAACAAGCTAGAATTTGGAATGTTATACACTAAGTTTAATTTCTAACGTATATTAAAATGCCTAAAATATTAACGCCTTAAAATATTTAACTAAAATACCATGACACGCATAATGTATCTTAAAATGACATTTAAAACAACCAAGATAAAAAATATATAATTATTAAAAATCAAGTTAAATAATGTTTGGCTTTATAATCGCACGATGCATGTAATGAAAAATGTTGACATAGAAATTTCATTGATATCAGAATGTTTTCATTTTACATAAATGCTAATGTATTTGAATTTATTTCTTTCTACAGCAATACCCCGAGCAGAAGATTTTACCAACCCTCATTCCAAAGCAAGCAGAATGAAGTTCAAGGAAGAAATCTCAAATTATGTCATTTAATGCCTTATTTTATTGTTTTGTATTCTGTAATTTCCTGAGCAAATATACAAATAAAAGCTTTTATTATTCATAAATGCCACACAAATGCTTCACAAACTAATTAACTAAAAACGGAAACTCATTATTTGTTCTTTCTGATTTTCAAAGCAACTTCTTTATTCATTAGACAGCTTGAATATGAGTTCTTAAAATGGAAAACAGCGTTAAGAAGTTATATTTACACAACTGTCTCTTCGCGTAAATTAAAGTTTGCAGGGTATTTTTTAAATTTTCATGTAAAACTGAGCTATTTTCTATAACTGTAATTAAAAATGCACTTAACAGTAATTTTGTTTACATTGATTTGTTTCTTTTGGATTGCCGCCAAATTTATTTGCATTAAAAGAGCCTCCGAGTGCCATTATGCTACAATTGCTTATTCGTGTGAAGATAAAATTTATATAATTAAGTGAATTCAATTAACACTTAACATAAAGCGCTTTGCTATTTGTCCCAGAAACATGGGTTTAACAATGGCTTAATTACACGTGTCTAATGAATAACGTTGTAATAACATATTGGTTCGAAATGAATTAATAAATTATAAGTTGTTGAAGTAACATGGCGTACGCAATAAAATTAATTGCATTAATAACTATGATTTAATATGTATTTACATATTTTTGTCTTTTAGTGTTATCTCAGATTTTGAATAGTGGTTCTGTGATAGTTTAGCTAAAATAGGCGGTGTTGTGGTGTGTGCAAATTGACATGAAGTTCGATCCTGGTTCTACTTCCGGCTAAAATCTGGTATTTTTTGCAAATGTAACTTGAGGTTAAAGTCTCTTCGAGTGTCTGGTATTTGAGAAAGAGTTGTACGAGACTTTTGGACTTCATGCCTCAGCTTACACTCCATCAAAATTGTCTGGAGATTACTCAGATAGCCTTCGTGTGCTTTATCAGCATTAAAAACTCATATATTTTTTTTTATTTAAATCAGTGGTAAGTTACAATCAGCTTGTTTGATTTTATCTCGACAAAACTTTTACTAAAATTATTCCTTTCGGCACTAAATAATTATCGTAAAATTACTTAAATATCACAGCTGTCTTAATCATCGGCTCCTAATATTAACCATCTTGATGATGAAGATGGATTCCATAATATCCTGGCTTCAATATTTTAGTATATATACAATTTGCAATCTTAAATTTAATTGCATACACCCCTATTCAAAACTTCATATTGTCCTATTTTGCACCATAATTGCACCACGTTTTCTCTTCAGTAACCACAATGCGAAAGCTTTTGCCCACTCGCTGCTCAGGATCACGATAAAGACGTTTCAAGCCTATAAATAGTACAGCAAACTAACTAAGTAGCCTCTTTCACCATTCCGATCTTCCTGCTGGTAACGTGACAGTTCATCGCCACTAACATTTCTGCCTTATATGACATGAGCTGCACCGCTGCTCAGGATTAAAGCAAAGACTTTCCAACCTTATAAATTGTACTGCATTCAACTACGCGTCTTTGGCGACTTCGCATTCCTGCTTGCAAAGTGTGGCTTAACTTCTGCCAGCTATTCTCCCTTATGTGAGATGTCACGTATTTGCATATCTAAAATTGTGGGGCGAGTTTAGTATCCTTAGTATCCCACTAGCTAAGAAGATATGTGCTAAGAAATTCGCCATTCAGAAATACGTTATATTTAACTACGAAGCTATTCGTGCTTCTTCCAAAATTCCATCTAGTCATGCACTACATCACAATCTCTCGTAATCTACGCAGCCATTTTCTCGTCCATGATTAAAAAGAAATTGGTGCTTTCTCTAATCGAGCTGTTCTAATATTAATTTACCTACAACGAAATAAATCAAACACACATACACACACACACACACACATATATATATATGCCAGTTAAATTTAAAACTTATTGGAATTAGATCTTAAAAATTGTCCCTTTCTTTATATTGTTCTGACCTCAAAGCAATGGCTATAATATTCCTTGCAAGTCTTTTATTGAGCATATATAACATCTTCTGCAATTAGATCTGAATACCTTTTAATCAACATGTCAGCCTGTGGAAATGAGTTTAATTCAGTGTTATGATCTTAAAACGAACATCATGATTCAAAATGATGGACCTCAAGAATCGCGAAGATGAGAAAAATATCAGTACAACAAATTGTCATATTAGATTTTATTTTATCAGTTAGGACAAAAGAGTGTATAAGTCCACAGGGAGAACTTTCTAAGAGAATTTAGATGGTATTTAAATTATCGTTGGGAAAAACGTAGTTCTCATTTACAGTCAGCACGTTTATAGCTGGAAACAGATTTCTGAATGAACTAACAAAGTTTCCAGAATTTAATTATACGGCAAATACTTGGCAGAAGGCAATGCTGAAAGTCGCTTTCAGTGTTCATCAAGAATTCATTCCTACAAGATAGAAAGCCACTGAGGCCTAACCTGAAGAGATTTAAAGAAGAACGCTTATCCCAAAAGTCTACAATTATCCAAAGATAGGTAACGTTTTTCCTACCACTATGATGGGTTAAGCCACAATGCCTTGAAGAAGCAATGGATTTTGTTGGAAATGTATGTAAACAAAGGCCTTCCATTTCCCTATTTGATCTGAAAATTATTTTTTCCATGTTATAGATGACTACCATGAACAACTGAAGAAAAATATGAAGTTCAGATATGCCTTTATAAATATTCACAAACAAATGGTGCAGTAATTTGATACTATGAAATAAGAATATGGCATTATATTAGCTATAACTGATATATACAGCGTCAATTTATCACGCCATTTGAATAATATATCTGCTTCGAATATGACGCTTAAAGAAGTTCATTGTTTAGAGAGTGTAGATGATGGATGAATGTCCTGCTTGATCATATATTTTTATCGGACATGGAAAATCATATGGAATAGAAATCAATAAATTGCGTTTAAGAAATGTTTTCTATTTCACGGAAGTTAACTCAGAAATAATGGAAAATATTTTGAAAATACAAATCTACATTTGAATCGAAATCGAATAGGAAATAGAAATAAAACTGACATTTGAATCTATGAAAATATTAGTGAATGTCAGAAACGTGAAGTATACACATCAGTGCTAAAGCGAACGATTTATATTAGAGAAATATGATTAAACTGAGATTTATTCTTGGTTTAAAATAAAAGGTAGATATAAAAGGCAAAAGTTCTTAAAGTGAGATTTGTTTTGCATTGCTTTTCAAATTTTCAGCGTCCGTTAAAGGGAGTTTTGCGCAATTTTATATTAGTATGTGATATTTATATTATCAAACTGTTGTATACGTCGAGGTTTGTAATGAATTGAAAGGAGACAAAAGCGACAATAGTTTCATAAAGAATATCTTACCAAAAGAAACATTATTAGGTCTAGATTCTAGACTCTAGAAAATCCCACAAAAATAATCGTAGATCTCTTCTCAGCATGACAGAGCATAATCAGTAGTTACTTTTCAGACTATTAAGAACGTTAAACACAACGAAATGCAAAGGGCATCTAAAGGGCAAAGCTGACACTGAGATAATCCCAATACTAATAAAAAAGTCGACTCTGAACTGAAAAACTGCCGGCAGAAAAACTCCGGTCTTTTATAGTTTTTCACCCAGCCGAAATGTCTAGTATCTTCCATTTCTCGAAATTACTGGAAGGTATATACTGTGAAAGTTACATATAAGGACCGGATAGGGTTACAGTTAGATAAAGGGATTGATTACAATTATTCATTTACTGTACCAAATACAGTTATTTAGAGACTGGACCAAAATGTATGTTTGGAGAATTTTAGCTATTTCTTGACAAATTTGGCGGCACAAGTTAGTGGCCAAAAGCATCGCCATCTTGGCGAAACTCACCAATTTAGCAAGATAGGTATTTATTTCGATGTTAAATAGGCTTGCTCGGTAATCTTATTTTTCGGGCAGAGCTTTGTTCTCTTCAGTCTTTTCATGTTACATTATATAAAAAGATAATTACAATTTAACTAAAATTATTTAGATACATACAAAATTCTTAACAATATGCAGTTAAATTTTCATTTAAATGGAAAGCTCCTAGAATGTGTAATAGTATAGCATTTCTTTTAATTTTCGAGTGCTGAAGTTCCATAATTTCTCATCTACATTAACAGACCACTGGAAAAACGTTTTGGTTAATAGTTCGCTAGATATAAATGTTCATATAAGATTGCAATGAAATATAGAGAGGATTTTATTAGTAATTTAAATAGAAGAATATCTGAAACATTGCATAATGGTAATGCATCTTTATTAATACCTCAAAATATTACAAAAGACTCACAAAGTTACACTTGTGCTGAAAATAATTGTCTTTCTTTAAACATCCAGTTTAAATATATAGCATCTATATCTAGAGTAGCGTTACAGTTGTTTGCACAAACACAGAAATACTTATTTCTTGTAATTGGATGAAGGAAACTGAGAGGATTTAATCGCGATAGTTCATAACTTAATAGCACATAAAAACCAATTGAAAAATCGAAAACAAAAGAAGGCGAAAAATGCAAACCTATGTCAACGAAAAGACTACGTGAAAACGAAGTTAAAAAAAAACAAAAAAACAAGCGAATGCCTCTGAAAGAAATACAAATCTTCGATATTAATTGGAAATCTTCCTCTCATGCATATACACATTACGAAGCAATTTATTGCTGTTAATAAAGTAGGTAGAATTTGACGCTATGAATTCTCTTTTCCCACCAACGTAGTCTGCAATGCATAGAGATCTTTAACGGGAGAATTTGCCATGAAACATATTTTTTAGAAGTGTCCAATAAGTTCCCTATCAAATTCAAACTAGTAGATTCGGTCGGCTCAGCAACTTTGATTTCAAGAAATTTATCAACAAAGTTGCTCAATATATATACGCGTTATCATCTATAAAAAAAATGCTCATTAAAATGACTTTCTTGTGATTTCAACACATTTCACTTCGTTAGATCTAGGTAGGCGTAGATCATCTGCAGAACATATTGTTGCAAGCATACGGGTTCCTAATTGATCGAATCTACACAGATTCGATGATAG